AAACAATGGTCTGTTCGAGTCAGAATTTTGCGCTTATGGAGGACTATGTTTGCTGACACAGATGAAACCCTCTTCCTACACATGTTGTTGCTAGATAATGAGGTTAGTACATGCATATATTTTTGTGTTGCTTCGATATTGGATTCCTTATCACGTTTCATGTTATGTATCACTCACCCAACACAAGGTTCTAAACGTTCAAGTGTTTGACTTAAAAACACTTGCAGGGAACAGAAATGGAAGCTGTCATTCACCGCCTCGAAATCCCTACACTCCTACCAGCTATACAACAATGAGGAATCTACATAATTGAACAGTTTGATGTTGATTCGTATGAGGTTTCTTTTAAGGTTGCAATGACAACTAGGCGAATCTCTTTTCATCCTAACACTGGTGTGCACCGAATTCCAAATGTTGTAGACATATCATTATTCATCTTTCGGTTCCTAGGTCCTACTGATTTCTTTGATGTTGTTCAAAATGAGCAAATTGTTTCAGGTAAGCAAATCCTTAACCAGGTAGAGAACTCTCAGTAGTTATGGTGGACTTTATTATTTGAATGATGATAACATTGGCTTGATATGGTGTGTAGATCTGGTAGATGAAATAGCTGTTGTAGAACCAACACAAACTATTTATCACCATGGTGTTGTTCAACGGAGCAAACATGTTTTCCTAAGGCTGTTTGAGTAAGGCTTTCCCATCTGCATCCTAATTTCCAGTGTGCTTGCTTCAAAAATGGAACTAATGATCTTTTAATTTTAGGGGAGTTACAGTCAGAGTTTTACTATTCAACTCTTGCATTGAGAAATTTGAGGGTCTGACTGAAGCTGATTTGGCACCAGGAACTGTTGCCATCTTCACTTCAGTCTATGTCTACATGAATGATAGTATGTAAACATGTTGATGCACTACTAATACATTCAATGACCTAATTTAATGAAGTACTTGGCTTTTGTAGATCAATTCTATTTTATAGCCTCATTTACAAGTAATGTCTACTTGAATCTGCACGATCCACAACTTCATATTTTGTTGAATCACTAAGTTCATTTCTTTATATCTAGAGCTGAAATGTATTCAATTTGGTTAGGGTAACTCAATTTGTGTACATTTATAATTGCATCTTCTTTAATTGGGATCTAAATTAAACTAACATGTCATTCGGATCAAACATCCTGCTTGTCAATCACCATGATTATATTGACTATACATTGGAGGCAGCAATGGAAGTCAGTGAAACAAGTTCTGTTCATGAAATTCTATTTCTATCAACTGATGTGCACAACATGGTAATGTAATACAGTGATGTCTGTGTACTGTTTGATTACTTTATAATTTGTTTCTATTATCTAAGAAATTTGTTATTGAGGCAATAGTTGAAGCTGTCGATGTATTCTGGACACCTACTTTTCAGAAGTACATGGTTGAATTGACACTGAAAGATGGATCTATGAAAGTCAGTGTTGTATTCCTGTCATCCGACTTTAAGAAAATAGAAAGCCAGCTCTTCCCAAACTCAAGAATCGACTGGACTACTACCTTTGAAGCCAACGTAAGATATATTACCCATAGATCTATCATACTCATGATTGAAGTTGGACGTGTTAATGAGCTCACAAACCAGTGTCTTTTAGTGGTTACTAAGTTCTTCGGGTAGTGCTCTTCCCCACATATCATTTGGTGGATGTTCTAAACTTAGTTACACATTTCAGACTATGTTTCCAATTTGGTACTCTATTAAGCCTGGTCTTTTGATCTTTGTTACTTTTTGGTTCTATGTTTTATTAGTACAGGGATTTGTAAAGTGTCAAATGATGGCATTTTCACTGCTGAAATTCCATTTGCTGACTTGATTGCTCACTAGCTCATATAATGAAATGAAGGGATTTGGGATTAGAAGGCATTAATAGTAGGAGTGATGTGTGTTTCTTACATGGTTAACTCAATGGCCAACGGATGAATTTAATTTCGTTGGTGTAAAGAGCAATCAAGTCACATCTACTAATAATCATTTATTCAATGTACTGATTTCATCTTTCGTATAATGCATAACAGGATCAAAGTTTGATGCAAGATATAAAATTTGAATTATTGTAAGACGGAGAAACCGAACTTACTAATTGAATTCGTCACTTGACAAGATTCTGACAATTGAAAGTATGCAGTTGATCTCATCTTTGGCATGCTGAATCTTATTTGGTTGACCTCTTGATGTGAGAAGTGTCAAATACAAGCTGATTAGCGTATGGATGCCCCGATCGGAAGTAAAAAGGGGAAATGATAACGTTTGGACTTATTGTACCTTAAATTTTGGTTCAGGTACTTCAACGCCACCATCATTGCTGTTGAGAAAGCGGTTATTTGGAAATCTTTCGACATTAGTACTCCATCACCAATATTAACAAGAGATGGTTGGGGATGATGATTATCTGCTGCACAGCTTTACTTGGGCCTTAAGGGTTACATGAGCCTAATTACGATAAGCTTATTTGGTTGTTCGTGCTTTTAAAAGCCCAATCACTTATATGTTAAATCTATAAGTACCAATCCAACATGAGATTTATTTATTTTAAATGATAGGGGCAACAAATGAATAGAGTTATAAAGTATACAACGTCAAACAGAAGACCTTTCAAATTGTTAATTAGCCATACCTAATTTAAATTCATATTGACAAAAATGACTAAATATAATGTGTCCTTAATGAATCAAATTGTTGAGATCACCTCAAATATAGAAAACAGATTGTGTGAAATATCCATTAAGAGAGTATACTTTTTAGGAAAAAGTTCACGTACTGTTATCATTTTTTTCATCTAATGACAAAGTTAACTATCAACAACAAGGCATGTTAATAAAATTTTACATCAACCACCCCTCAAAAGGATAATAGACTTACAAAAGAGCTTAGCGTTCACATATCCAGTACGCTTACATAAAAGGAGAAATGACATAGAGGTGGACCATTAATAACATTAATCCGATTATATTGACAATACCCAAATGCTACTCAGTTATCTAAAGGCAAGAACAGCTTCACCAAGAACAGATCAAAATAATTCCCCACGTTGTTCCAAAGACCGACTGTGACCATGACCTCATACGAGTTTTCACCAATCAAGTTGAGAAGTGTAACATAGTCGGCATTGTCAATCTCTGAAGGACTGACTACAGAAGAAATGATCCTTCGTAAGTATGATGATGGGGAAACGACCTCAACATCAGTAATGTCATCTTCAATGGTCAAGTGAATCAAATATACCCTGGATGCATCACACCAAGATCTCCTCAACTCTATTATACGACCAGAGAAAATGTACAAAGAGCCCTGATATAATTAAAAAGATAGGGATTTGAAAAAAAAATAAACAAATAAGATGCAAATCAATGACATAAGGGACGGAGAATGATAAATAACAAACATATTATCTTAGTCACCTAATTGTCACCATCCAATTGCATCGGGATAAGATCTATGGTTTCAACCGTCTCAGACATAGCTACGGCATCTTGATAATTCAGATTCGCAATGAAATCATCCCTGAGGATAAAAAGGTAAAAAACCTATAATTTAAACAATTAGTAATTGCATTGAGTAGCTACGAGAACACAAGAATATGGTGTTTTATGGGGTTGGAAAACCAGTACTTAGTGGTTCCATTGATGTATGATGTCCATGTTCAAAAATATGCGTCCCTGATTTCCTACTGATCAATCTCTATTTTTGCAAGTAACTTTCGTTTTTAGGATCGTAAAAACAAATTATATAAGTTGTTGTTCTGGACCGCAACACATGTTACCTTTCCAATGTTGAATTCTAACCAATTCGTATTTCAATTGAATTCTCCTAATTACTTCAATAATTGTAAGGGTTTAGGGAAGCATGTTATAGTTGAGGTGTTGCAATTTGGTCTGACACTAATAGACTAAACATGTACAAAAGAAGAGAAGCAAACAATACCAAAGAGGAGACGACTCTGTCAATTCGTCAATGAGTTTTTGAAGTGGAACTGGATGCTGCTTCGTTTGACTTAATGCCCCTGCTCACTCAGAATTTTCTTGGCAGGTCCTTTTCTCATCGACCAGGATCTTGGTTGTATCCCACACGCAATACGTAATCAAATTCCAAGAAAACAATTTTGATATATGCGTCCTGAAGTGCTGATCAATCCTACGTCAAGATCGAATCAATAAGAACATATAATGCCCCTTATTTTAATAAATGGGACCACATTGTACCCAAAAGCATGGAAACTAACGTATATGTGGAGTCGGCAAGTGTTTGCTGGGAGTCTCTGACTGAAAAACAGAAAGGCTATCCAAGGGTTTAGAATATCGGGAGAAAAAGAAGTTGAATGACATCGGGCGTAGTAAGGTTTAGATGGGTATCCCTTCACATGACCTAAAATCGTTGCGTCGTCCGGCGATTGGATTTAATCAGGGGCTCCGCTTAATACCCTTTGTCGCTGCTGATGATAAGAGTGAAAAGACTGCTGCGAGAAGTTGCGAGGTATGTTTACAGAAATCACCTCCCGGCGATCAGAATAATAGTGCTCATTTATACAGGAGGGCAGAAGAAGGCGTCCATGCAAGGAAACCGGTGTCCGCTTGCTGCCTTCGTCGGAAACTTAACAGAGGCGTGGAAGGGAAGAAGGGAGGGGAAACGTTTTCTTACTTTTGTGATTTGTCCATTTATTTTTAGCTTAATAAATACATTGAGTTGGTAAAGGAAAAAGGAAATACAATTTCATTTGGGCCTTCCAAATTGAGTTGCAACAGATAGCCTTTTTGGTTTAAGACTGGACTAATGTGCCTCTATCACCGGCCCAACATTATAGTAGTCTTATGTTGAATTCCACTCTGCCACAAATAATGACTACAATTAAAACAACTAGCCAGATCATACACATAACTCCAGCAAGACTAAGAAGATCGTTTTTTTTTGTTCATTATCAAACTCCCTCAACGGCTCCACTTGTTCTCTTACTTTGGCGCCCATGCTCTTCAGGATCGTCTCTTACTCGCTCAACGGCTTCATGCGGTGGCGGTGGAAGCCCGACGGCAGCGACCTCCCCATCTTCAACCCGGCGCAGTTCCTCGAGATCGTGAGGGGGAAATCGTTGGCTTTCGTTGGTGATTCTGTTGGGAGGAACCAGATCCAGTCCTTGATTTGCTTGCTCTCCAGGCCTGCAGGCCGCTCTCGACGCTATCACTCACGACATGGCTGTTTCTGGTGACATGCCTAATTCTGTCCGCCCCCACCTCCCTAGACGGCAAGTATATTGTTTCTTTAATCGGTTTGTTGAAGGTTATTTCATGGAAGGTATGTCTTCGTTGGTTATTCCCTAATTACAAAAAGATGGTATATCCAAATACAGAGCTCTATTACTCTGTTTCCGCATTATGACGCCTGTCGTCGTTATATCATGGGTACTTCTGGTTTTGGCTCAATGGCCAACTCTATACATCCGTGACTTGATGTTATTATTCTTTAAAAGTTGTGATCCTTTGTTCAAGTCCAGAATATGACCGTAGCGTTGGTTTGGTTATCATCATCGATCACCTTGGTTTCATGGATCCGACCGGTACTCTGTATTCTCTGCCGCCGGCGAATTAGTGATGGCCGTCGGTGACGAAGCTTGACCATCACTGTGATTCCTGGTTTGAAATTCCTGAATTCCAATATTTCATACTTTAATTGCGTCGGACATTACTATATGTTGATTGTTATAATTCCTTCTAATTAGCTTGAAGATTTCTGTGGTTTTTTTCCATTTATATGTTATTATAGTTCTTTATGGCGGCAGTGATTAGGCGGTTTCCCACAATAACGTGTGGGCTTTAGGTAATGTAATTTAATTGAGGCCCTAGTTTTAAATTTCATTTACTTTTTACCATTTTTGCATTGGTTTTGTTATTTATTTCGCTCCTTTTTTCAACTGTTTTTCCTTCTCTCCTTTTACGTTTCTGTTTCTTCTTTGCTCTCTATTATTATTATTTTATATTAATTTTTATAGTCTTGTTGTATCTCCCGTAACTCTTGCCAATTTATTATTACTTCTTTAGTTTAGTTTTTATTTTGTGATTGTTTTTTTTTCTGTTTTTATTAATTTAGTAACACTTTTATCTCATAGTTTCCGTTTTTAAGGGGATGTTAATTTAGTTTGAATTTTTTATTATTATTTTCAATTTTTACTTTCCGCAATTCTACTTTTTGTTTGACTTTCTCAGTAGCGTCAAATTTTCAATTTTTTTTTAATTCGGCCTTTGGAAATTGATTGCTACCTATATTTGTTTGCTACAACATTTTGTTGTTGTCGTGCTTGGTAATTCTGATAGAGTCCTCTTTTATTTAGTGGGATATATTTTATTTCAATGTATATGCTAGTTCACTTGTCTTGTTTTGCAGGAGATGTTTCCTCTCCTATCGTATTTAGATGCATTCAAGATGCCTTATTACACCCATACGGGTGTTCATGGGGAAGTATTCTCCCTCTTCTCTCTATCTGAGTCAGTTTCGTGTCATTTTGCTCTTCGGAGCTTTCATAGAGCTGCCCATCTCGTGGCATAACAGGCTCTTTCTTCAGGAATCCAGTTGCATACGGACTACCGTTCTTTATTATTATCTGTCTCTCTGTTTGTTGTCCGGCCATGCCCTGGGGGCTTATCTTGGATAAAAAAAAAAAAACTAGCCGCCCAACGGGCCGGCCCCTGTGCTAGTTATGAATTAGAAGCATTTTTTTCACTTTGCAATCCCAGCTTCTGTTGCTTGAGTTTGCTTCTTGGGAGGAAATATGGGCTTGGGCTAAATTTATTACTTGGCCACTCTTTGTGTTTAAACACATTAAAAAAAATCCACAAAATCCAATCATATTGGTCTTTTAAAACAAAGCTAATGTAAATTGTAGTTTTAGTTACATACAAATTTTTAAAGTTTTAATTGTTAGTAGATTTGTTGGATAACCTTCCGTTTCTAGCCATTATGTTTTATCACGTGGGTTTCATGTCAACGTAAATTTTAGTTTTAGTGACATACAAATATTTAAAGTTCTAATAGTTAGTAGATTTGTTCCCTTATAAAAAAAATTGTTAGTAGATTTGTTAGATATCAGTAAACTTTTATTTCTAACTGTTAGTAGAATTGTTGGATAGGATTTTTAATTAAATTTGGATATATTTTTATTTTAAAAATATAATTATTTTTTATTCATGAATTAAAAAAAATTGAATTTGGAAATACTATCATTCCCATCTGTACGTAAGACACAATAAAAATTTTAACAATTTCAAAATTATGAAGGTTATTCAATTGCAAGATAACTACACGGTTCAATTTTAAATGTCATTCACACACTTCAAAATAATCAATCTCTACTCTTTCACTATTTTCAACTCATTCACTTAAGAAAAATAAAATATCATACCCAAAAAACATTAAAAAAACTTACTACATAGTGAATCTCATTTTTATTCTTCTGCATTTTACAAATTCAGAATTCAACTCCATATTGTGGACAAAATCGCTTAGTCTAATTTTGTTGTACGAGATCACAAGGAAGTTCGAATTTTTGGAACATTAGTTGTGAAACTATTCCAAGCATGTGAGAGATGAAAAGACGTCTATCATTTTACCTCCTATAAATTGAGGTAATGGAGTTGAAGTGCGACATTAAACACACTAATTACAACATCACGGACCCTTTAAGTACACGGTTTTGAAGATATGGCAAATTTTATTTGCACTAGAAATGCATTTCATATTTGCAAATATTTCACTATTTGATTTTTGCTTTCAATAAAATACAAGAGAAGTCGAAAGAGTTGTTCACATTACTATTATAAGAGGTTCTCTCACACAATACTTTTACAAGAATTATACATTAAGATTAAAGACGACAGAGGCTTGGTAACAATTTACCATTGCTCTTTCATTATTCTTAAATTCAAATTCATTCATCGAGGAAAACAATCATACCTGCTAAAGCATTATGTTGTCGAATAAATAGTATATCTCGATTGCTTCCATTTTATAGATTCACGATCAACTTTGGACAAAATTGTTGAATCTAACTTTATTGTTCCGGTTCGCGAGAGAGTTGGTTTTTGGGAAATGCATGAGATTTTATTTGAATAGTATGAGAGGACGTTTACCTTCTCATCTTCGATAAACTAAAGGAATGAAGTCGAATTTTCAAATCACATCAATTACAATATCGTGAACTTCTTAAGCGAGGTAAATTTAACATATTGAAAATAGTGTTTCACACATGTAAAATTTTGTAACATTAAATTTTTATTTCTGTAAAATGCGTGAGAAAATAAAGAGTATGCTAATGGTGAGGATAGTTGATTCGGTGATGGGTTATGACATTGTTGAGAACTAGCAGGAGATTGTTGATAGCGGATATATGAATTTTAATGATGGGAGAAGAGAGACTAGTTGATAATATTTACAATTTGGGTGAAGTAAATTATACTAACGTGAAATGAAGTTCCATATTTTCAAACATTTTACAATTAAATTTTGAGATTCAATGAAATGCTAGAGATAAAGAAAAGACTATTAATGGTGAGTATAAACTATAAAGATTTCATGAGTGAAGATGAAACCGCATGAATAAAAGAATGCTTTTGATGGTGAAACAATATAAAACAAAATGTCCAAAACAACTTTTGTAGTAATTTTTAAGAAAATAAAAATTTGTAGTAATTTCTATAGCGAGTAGTATATTTCAAGTGCACTTTATTAATCTTTTTTAGGAATCAATTACCTTGCATGATTTTTTTAATTTTAATAATTCAATAATTTAGATTCATTCATGATACCAAATAAAAAAGAACTTGGTTTGAGCCATTAATATTACATTTATCCAATTTATATAAATAATTCGGCCAATGGACGACCCCAATCTAGTATCATACACAAACAGTCTATCAATAAATACTCTTTTTTACGAAACTCGTTGAGGGACACACAAAGACGACAAAAATAGACGAGTATTGCTCGGCAAAAACTTCCTTCTTAGTTTGAAAAAAATAGTTTTGAAGAAGGCAACTCCAATTAGAGGAGGATACTTCTATAGCAGCGAGAAGTCATATTCTGGAGTTGGATTTCTCGAGTTGGAGGCCGCATATGTGGTACAAGTGTTTTCCAAATAGGTGTTCCTTAGAAAAAGATTCAATCTTGCTTGAGTATTACCTTTCGGGAAACTAAATGACGATCCTATGTTATTTTTTAGTCGTGCAACTAGAGAGAATTTAGAGAATACGAATATAAACTTTATTTTGATCTCGCTTTTACTATGTCAATATGTAGTCCAACAACTCTATATTTTTCCGTCGTCACTCACATACCATTATGGTTACCCGGTGTCACGAGAATCTACTTCCACTTTGTCATATAAACTGGTTTACATTAAGAAAAACCACATGAAAATTCGTTCCCCGTAACACGTCCATAACTTACCAATTGTCAAACGAAACTTAGACCTGAGCCAATGTGATAAGACATACATTTAGGAAACGTCTCCAGTTGTACTACCATAGGCGGAGGCAGAGGACATTGGCTGTGTCCTGGCCCCCGGGACACAGGTGATGTTTGGGGAAAAACAATGGGTTACCCATATATGTCTACCAGATTGAGCCCATTATATATATGGGCACTACACTATTAACAAAATTCTGATTGGAATAAACCACTAATGATCAATCCATATCTCTCTTAGGTCATATTGATTTTTTCACACAACAGCTTGTTAGGTATTATCATGATGTTATTAGTGATGAGAAATTTGTTGGATTGAAGAGAATTGACGAATTATATCATGTAATGGTGAAGACAAAACTACATGTCATATCCATTAGCTTATATGCTTGCAAAACAAATCGTACCGGAAAATTGAGTGGTCGGGTATTTTGTACTAAAATCTATCGTGATTAAACCATTTCCTTTCTCTAAAACCGCCTACCATTTTGAATTCGGTATCCTGTATTTACGGTCCGACCGGCCGGTACGGTGGGGTTTTCTAAACCTCGAAACTAATTTCGACTCTAGCCGTTGCAACTACAAGTGTAGAAAGAGCATTTTCAGCTTTGAGCTATATTAAGAACAAGATTCAAAGTCGAATTTGCCACCAGTTTGCTAATGATTTTTTAGTTGGATACATTAAAAAAATACTTACTTAAGAGCATAGACAATGAATATATTTTGCGTTCTTTTCAGAATATGAAAATACGTTGAAATTGTTTATGAAAACAATGATTGTATCAATAAGTTATTTCTTTACTATTTATTTATGAATGAATTATTTGGATATTATTAATTTTAATTTTATTTATTTATATTCTAAAAATAGGACACAAGAATACTCGCTCCCCCACTCTGTACTACTAATTAGTCGTCCTAGAGAAGCAAATCTTTTTTTTTAGTAGAAACCGGACGCAAAGGGCGTCCAACCTTAAGAATCAGGGACAAGTCTGGGAGTTTGACTCCCTACAAGGTCATACATCAACCAATAACGTAGATCAGGGCATGGCGAATATATCAAGTGAGTCCCCAGCGGTCGATGGTGCCCGGTCGCAGCAAGGAAATTCGCAACAACATTGCCCTCCCTGAAGGTGTGGTTCAACCGGACTTCCCAGTCTCTCTCCAGCATCCGACGTATCTGTAAGATCGTCTGGTAATGAGGGTGCCGTGGTGATGCCGTTGTGACCAGCTCAAGAGCAGTGCGTGAATCTGTTCAAAGCTCAAGCTTCCTAATTCCCAACTCCCAGGCGCATTTTAGGCCCTGCAATACTCCCATCAACTCCGCGCGGGTTATCGAGCCTCCACCCAAATTCATTGAAAATGCTTCTCTAAATCGGCCTGTCTCGTCGCGGATAATACCACCCGCCGTCGAACTTTGAAGCGGAAGAGTTACCGATCCATCCGTGTTAGCACAACACCATCCCGGTTCAGGCGGTTCCCATCCAATCATCCTTAGTCCCCTATCCAGCCTTTCTTTCACACCCCTTCTAAACCACGTATAAGGCGGTCCAACATAGCCCAAATCGTTGAGTCCGGAGTCCAGGATACACTCCTGAAAATCCCTGACCCTACCGGCATCAAAAGGTGCTCCTCCAAACTTGTCAGAAGCGCTCAACATGGAGTTGAAGTCCCCTGCTAATAACCATGGCATAGTGCTCTCCTCCGCAATCGATCTAATTGAGGCCCAGAGCTCCCGTCGCTGAACAAGTGCAGGGTTTGCGTAGACTGCCGATAAGAGAAACTACACCTGACCCTCCCTGACCGTAACATGTAGCATCTGGCCTGTACGGTTCTCCTCAGTAATCTGTACCGAAGCGGAATCCCAAAGTAGCCAAATACCACCAGAAAAACCCACTGCATCAATCACTAGGCTTTGATCCAGCCCCAGCTGACTGATCACTTGCTTCGCTGTACTCCCACTGATTCGAGGCTCTACAATAATAGCGATGTGTGGTCTGTATTTGCGTTTGTATTCCTTGAAGACCCGCAAGAAGCTATCGCCTCCCGCACCCCTACAATTCCATGATAATATGTTCAAATCCATCGTATCTGGGAATACGTAGGGTAACCTTGGTTTCATTACTAGTGAGTCGTAGACACCCCCGAGGGGGTCCCCACGCTCTCTGATCTCGAAGGTTGTCCCCCCGGTACTGCATTTCTCGACGACAGACTCTTGTCCGGCGGCTACTGTATAGGGTGCATGGACGCATCTGGATCTTGTCCCTTACCTTCCTTAGCTCCTCCAGTATTAGCGTTGTTTGGAGCCTGGTTCCGTCCCTCCATACCTTGGGTACTAGAAGAAAGGCTGATGTGCTTCGCTATTTGCCCATCCTTTGCTAGTCCCTCCTTATTTTTAATACTCTTCACTATTTCTTTATTCTGTGACAAGCCTTTAGTTTTACCCACTGCTACTACCTGGTCATATGGTTCATGTCGGTTCTCAGAGGAATTGCTTTCCTCCCCCTCTATATTCCGTTTCTCCTCGTGAGGGTTCTGTTGGGATGGAATTTTCTCCACCCAGATCGCTTGACACTTTTGTGGTGAAACCTTGGGCTTGGAAGTCTTCCCCCCCCCCCTCCGCGCCCTTCCCTTTCTCCTTGGCCGCTACTCTCACTTCCATTTCCGTATCCTTTGTTGGTACTGTATTATTATCAACTTCCTCGCATTCCAAAACTGAAAATCTCGAACCCGGAACAAAGTTCCCATCTCGCGATGCTTTCTTTCATGTCGGGTTTCCCACTACTCCCTGATCAGCACGTCTATTTGGTCTCCTCTCTCGCCGTTTAGCGATCATCCATTCCCCGTATGCCTCTGTATGCTTAACTTGGTCGGTTCGGTTCCCGCCCAACGTTGTTTCCTGCGTGTGTTCATTCGAGTGCAACGTAGGGCATGCATTCTTGGAGTGTCCGTACATACCACATTCAAAGCAAACATTATCGAGGCCTTCATAATTGATTTCATACTCCACCCCCTCCACCTTGTACTTAGAAAGAAGAGGTTTCATTAGATCGACCTCGATACAGGCTCTAGCATAGACACCTCTCGCACCCAACTTTGTGGCTCTATCAACTCTCACTGGGGTACCTGCTCGCGCAGCTATACGCATGACTGCTTTTGGGTTGAATAGTTCAATCGGCAAGTCAGGTAGGCGAATCCATGCCAAGGTCGAGGCTATCTTGCAAGTCTTGGGGTTAAAGCTCTTCTTCCACTTATGGGTAGTAATATAGTGGTCTCCTATAAGCCAAGATCCACCCGTTAGTGCTGCTTCGTAATCCAGTTTGTTCGTAAACCTGATGAAGTAGTAGCCATTGGTTCTGTTCGTGATCTGAATCGTGTCGTTCCTTGCCCATAGCATATTCAATCTCTTAGTCTTAGCCATAACGGGGTAGGGGAAAGATCTCCCCAAGACCTTCACCACCAGTGCCGAACGCCACTCCCGGCGGTAGTCTCTCAATTCTGATGGGGAGAAATATACGGTAGGGCAACGTGGGTCGTCATCCTCCGCGATCGGATCATCCTGATTGTCCTCCCTCATTGCTTCGGCCACATCTTCAGAGTCCGAGTCCGCGATGTACCAGGACTCCTCCATCACTGCCTCGCTAAACAACTTCTTTCTTCCCACCCCCCAGGCCATCGGTTGGGGCTGTGACGTTTTAGGACTATGTGTGATATGCTCCACATTATGGTCCTGATCGCAGCTCGTCTCGATCTCCTCCTCAGTAATATCTTCAACAACAACTTCGAAGTTTATATCTTTGTCCTCAGGGAACTCCAACGGTCTCACCTTCTTCTTCGGTTGTTGGATCTCTCGATCCTTCTTTCCATTTGGGGAAGAAAAGACTTCAGATGCACGTCGACTTCCCGCTGAACCGTCAAGTGGCTTGGCCTCCGAGGCTCCGGCGATCTCGTCGCCATCTTAGTAAGGCTGGTCGGTGTGAAGAAACCCTAGCGCCGATTTCCTTGTCCGAGTTTTGCGGAGCGTTTTTTTTTTCCTAGCGGGATTCCCCCCACCCCCAAACATTTTCTTTCTAATTTTCAGAGGATGGAATTGGGGTGGGATACTATGCTAACCCCTAAAGGGGTAGTGATTTTCAACACCCCCTTTATGATTGGCCAATTTTATTTTCAATCATTGGCAAGTATTAATTAAACTGGTTTTTTATTTTTTTTAATCTTGTAATTTGGGGTCTCTCACCCACATTGGAAAGGGAAAGAATATGGGGAATCAGAAAAAAGCTCCCCCCCCAAATGTGCAATTAATTGCCTTTTTTTCTTCCTTTCGTCTCCTTCTCTCTCCATTTGGGCCCTCTTTCCATTTTGATTTCATTTTAACCAGAACCCTCCTCTACTCTGAAACGACCAAAACCCTCCAGTGCCTTCCCCCACCACCATCCTCCTATCTCCAGCTGCCGCCATCCTGGGATCGCCTCTGACCTACCTTGTGGATTGCTCGCACCAGTGGAGTGGTACGTGTACCAGTAGAGTGGTACGTGTACCAGTGGAGTGGTACGTGTACCAGTGGAGTGGTATTTGTATCATTGAAGTGGTACTGCATTGTTGCTCCGTTATTGTTTATCATTGTTATGAAAAATATCATTGCACTGGTATTGTTCTCACTCTAACCTACCTTGTGGATTGCTCGCACCAGTGGAGTGGTACGTGTACCAGTGGAGTGGTACGTGTACCAGTGGAGTGGTACGTGTAATTAATGTACCAGTGAGAGAAATTAATTATGTAATTAATGGGGGTGATTTCGTTTTTCCCCAGATTCTTTCTCTTTTCCAATGTGGTGAGAGACCCCAAATTACAAGATTAAAAAAAATAAAAAATCAGTTTAATTAATACTTGCCAATGATTGGAAATAAAATTGGCCAATCATAAAGGGGTAGTCAAGCTAACCGATCCGATGGAATTGGTTGCAGAGAAGCAAATCTTTGCGGCTGAAAAAGGAGACAATTCCGTAAATTGATGCCACATGTTCAGCCTTGAGCTAGCTAAAATGTTGCTCTCTGCCACATGTATATGCCAAATTTGATCCTATATCTCCGTCCTAAATTCCTCGTGAGGGAAATGCCAAAATCATTAATAATTGGTAATCACGCTTACTAACAAAAATGCAGATATTTGTAGAGGTATCGTGGCATGACACCCTCGTTGTATTTGTACTGTACATAACAACAAGTGTAGAATTCACAGAAACCACCTGACTTAAAGGACCTCCTTTTCCCTCTTTTAAATTAAGCCTAATCTTGCCCTCTTTTACTTAATTAAGCCTAATCTTCTTAACTTGTACTTAGGTTAGGCCTAATACTTCACCTGCACCAGGAATTCAAATATAAAACCTCCACGTCTCCTGTCTCTTCAACCTCCCATAGGTTTTTCTGCTCTATATTTATTTATTTTTCAATAAATAATTTTCCTGCAAAGCTACCTTTCCCGCCGTCCCTTCCTGAAACCCAGAGGGTCCCGTTTCTTGCTCCTACTCCTGTCTCCTACCCATCTCCGCCGGCATCCCCACAGCCGCTCACCGCTCTCTCTTTGCTTCCTATCTATTTTCCCTCCACCAACCAATCGAAATTTCACGACTTGTTCAGTTTTGAGTCAATCATTCAATCAGCGCCTTTTCAGTTCACCCGGAACCCTAAACCCAGTTTCTCCGGTGAGTGGACTTCAAATTCCAGACCAATTTGTTTGCAAAGGTCTTATCTTTTTCTCTTCCGGCGTATTGGGCTGGCGATTCCAACTGGAAATTCATCTTCCCCGGCTTCGGAATTTGTGCTTAAATGGAAAATGAAGCAACCGCTGCCCTGATCGTGATACCCAAGCTCCAGAAGCTATCGGATGCTGCCGAGGAAGAAGAAGAAAGGGGAGAGAGGGAAGGGATCGAATTGAAGAGCTTGAGATTATGCCTCAAGTTGTTGTGCGTAGAGGATCAATCCAAACTCTGGACGGCGTGTCTGTCGTGGTCGGTGTTCTTCCTTCTCGCCATTGTCAACCCGATCGTCTCCCACTTTCTCCTTCTATGCGCTGATTGTGATCAAGAGCATCAGCGGCCTTACGACTCCGTGGTGCAGCTGTCACTATCTGTTTGTGCTATCATTTCTTTCTTCTGCCTGTCTTATTGGTCTCGCAAGTATGGGTTCAGGAAGTTTCTGTTTCTGGACAAGTTGGATGATGAGAGCCCCCGGATTCGGCGAGGATACCAGCAGCAGCTCAAGGTAACTACTAATGTCTGTTCATCATTTCTCTTGTCTTAGAATCAAAACTGTGAAATCGTGGAGTTCGATACTTGTTGATAACTGATTCTCCGAATAAGATATCTTAGATCGATCATCTGAATTTGTCGTACTGTATAGGTCAATCACCAGCTCGTCAATTGTTTTGAGTTATTGAATGAACCATTAGTTGGCAAATGAATGTTTCTTCCATGATTCAAAATTATCGTAGATGAACCTAAAGTTAGTTATCTGAGTGAAGGGTTAAACACAGAAAGCAAAATTGAGTTGGGAATTTCTCCATTTACATTCTAGACATTCATTCCCTGTTTTGATTCGGACTAAAATTGGTAACCTTTGGCTTGAGGCAGAGATCAATGAAGCTTCTCTGCACATTTGTGCTGCCATGTTTCGCGGTTGAGAGCGCGTACAGAATATGGTGGTATGCTACAGGAGCCTTCGAGATACCCTATCTGGAGAATGTGTACTTGAGCGACATAGTCATTTGTACATTGCAACTGGCCAGCTGGGTTTACCGCATTTCGATTTTCATCCTGGTCTGCATTCTATACCGGGTCATTTGCCATCTCCAGATACTCAGACTGGAGGAGTTCGCCGACTTCTTTCAGACTGAGAGTGAGGTTGGCTCGATCTTGAAAGAGCACCTCAGGATCAGAAGGAACCTGAGGATTATCAGCCATCGGTTCAGAAGGTTCATTCTCTTGTCTCTGCTGTTGGTCACCGCTAGTCAGCTGATGTCATTGCTTGTCACTACTCGGTCCTCTGCTACTAACAACATCTACGAGGCTGGAGAACTAGCGGTATCATATCTATCTATTCCTCCGTCTTTCTATCTATGCTGATTGATCTTAATGGTTATGTACTGCATCATTTATATAAAAAAATTGATCCCTCAGGCAGGATCAACTCATGTTTAGTACCTCATTCTAGAACAGATACATGCCATAGTGGAGAGATTTGTTTGTCAAAATTCTTACGTATTTGTCAGAAACATGTCCTTGATCTTAATTTAAATGATGATGGATCGATATGAAGGAATCATCGGACTGATAATCTCTATTGTTGTGTGAGGGCAGCTCTGTTCTATTAATCTGGTGATAGGGCTATTCATATGCTTGCGAAGTGCTACGAAGATCACCCACAAAGCACAGGCCATAACTAGCCTCGCCGCCAAGTGGCACGTCTGCGCTACTATCAACTCATCATACGATCCAAACGTGGCGGATGGCAATACTCCAACCAGCCATCGGGTATTTGATCCCAGCTGTGGTCAGGTGCACCCCATCAATATAGACTGGGTTTTGGATGAAGATGGAGATGATAAAGAAGAAGAAGATGATGATGACAACTCTGACAGCTCCAACATGGTGCCGATTTTTGCACATACAATCTCTTTTCAAAAGAGACAAGCTCTAGGTAAAATTTTGAGATGGCTTGCATATACCCAGAGGCTAAGGGTTTCTTTATTGATGTAGGTTGCTGATAGTTTGCTTTCGTTTGTTTCTTGCTAGTGACTTATCTAGAGAACAACAAGGCAGGAATGACGGTATTTGGGTTCATGATGGATAGATCATGGCTTCACACCATATTTGGAGTTGAATTAGCCCTCCTCCTGTGGTTGCTTAATAAGACAATAGGTAATATATAGCCAACTCTGATTGTTTTTTGCTCGCCTTTCTCAATGGCTGATCCTCTTTTTGCTCCTAGAATTCAAAGAGTATATGAAACAGAAACTTGTACTTCTTGTTCTGCTGATCTCAACGAGTTCTAATGAAATCAATCACTTATCCGAAAAAGCAAACGTCTTCGTGTACTATTGTCTCGAGTATCTGTTTTGACTTCAGCTATGAATTCTGTCACAATCCATTACAAGCAGGATCCATCCATGCTAAATAAGCACGCCATAGATGACGAAGATATCACATATCTGCTGGAAACTCTTGTTTTTACCCTTCAATTCGACTCTCCAACCCCGCAACCTGGAATTCATGTTGGAACTCATTTCCTGTTATTTTGTGTGTTTGAGAGCAGTGAGTTGGACTTGAAAGAAGCAGTCAAAGCAGGTGGACGCTTGAGTGCTAGCTTGCACATCATGAGAGAACTTGCAGACTGACGATGCTGCAAATCAAAGACGCCAAGGCTTTTCCATGCTTATATGAGTTATGTCGTTTGCTGTTTCCTGTAACTCTTAGTGTACAGTGTATAGCTTTTACGCATCGATATAATCCAGATTCCAGACCCATGTATTATTGTATATCTGCACGTATTTTACTTCGCTGAGTAACAGCTAATATAAAATTTTGTACGGCTTGAGGAAAATCACCTCCCTTCTACCAACCACCGGCCGAGATAAATAAATGTCGATTTTTGGTAAGCTGCTAACCGATGGTTATCTATTAAACCGGTCGTTAACTACTAACCGAAAATCGATCGACCACCCCTAGTTGTAGGGAGGCTTTCAGTCCCGTAGTTGTATTAGGGAAAACAAAACTCGAATTCTCTAATTTGTTCAAGCAGCTTCTAACCCGGTTTGTTAAATCTTCAAAATATCAATTGGAACATTAACAACCGTTCTTCCAACCATGAAATCCTAATTTTCACTCTTTACTCCAGAGTCTATTTGCCCATACTTGAATTTGGCAAATGTGAGGGGAAGAATGCAAGAATTTCCTTACAAAGCACTGTGCCCAATGTGCAATACCTTCCTCCTCTGCCAGGTCCGTCATCGACAAATTTCTAGCTCCACATACACCAAGCAGTTTGCCTCGCCGATTCGAAACAGATTCGCCCCCAATTTTTAACGGAGAAATGAAGAGAGGAGGGGGGGGGGGGGGGGGGGGGATGAAGAAAAGTGGAAAAGAAGAGATGAAAAGAACGAGAGAAGCAATGATGACGATGAGCGCTCAATACTAGAGAGCGGCACCACACTGGACAGTAAGAAAACGATTACTAATTACGAGTTACTGTTATTTCTACATGATTCTTCTTATTCTTCTTTCTCCTCAGCTTTCTCTAAAGAACTCTTTGTACAATTATTTCTATCCATTTTCATATTTCTTTTATATACAAAAAAAAATCATAATCCAACACAAATATTACCCTCAGGCCTCAACCCAATCTACTCTACCTAGGTTAAAAATTGGTAACCAATAAACAACACTGACGAAAATTAAGCAGCTTCAACTCAATACTCTACGCCAAATTAACAATCTAAATCTCACTATATATCATTAGAAGATAGATAAACACAATAAACAAAAACACCCATATAAACAATATGTCAAAGTATAATTCAACCAACATAAAAAAGGCAAGCTCTTAAATCTACTCTAACAAACCTAGCTAGCTTCTAAAGTACAATTCGCCTATCAATAACGATACCTTGCGTTATCCAGATCACCGGCTCAATAGATTTGCTCAACACAACAACTGGTGGATTTAGCCAAGCTTCCACTCAGAAGCCCTCCTCCTCCTCCTCCAGGACCCGAAAATTCGACCCGAACCGGGTCACAATCGACCCGAATAAACATCCTCGGTTTGTTTATACCAAAAGCAAAATCTTCTCGACACGAAGCTTTCAAAAGGACCCGAAATTCCACGGACCCGGTACCCGCCACCGTGTCATTGAGCACCCGGATAATGTCGATACCCCAATCGTCCCTCGCCGCCGGCTTTGGCCGGAGGCGCAGGTTGAACGTGGAATCCGGGCCGACATCAAAAGGCGGCAACTGGCCGCCGGCGATCTCCAGCTGGCTTCCTCCGCCGGTGGCGTACAGCACGGCGGCCTCGACGGGGCCGTAGTGGTTGGGGTAGCTCCCGCCGGTTATTGCCACGTGGAAGGTGAGGAGCCAGTCGGCGTCGATGGCGAGGGAGCTGGCGTTGCGGGTGGAGACGACGGCGGAGGCGAGCTGGACGTCCGGGGTATTGGAAGTCTGGTATGATAAAACGGCCATGAAGCAGAATAGGGATGTTGGGATGGACGCAAACAGCAGCAGCATGCAGGGAGCTTTCCATGATTTTGGCGGCGGCGGGTTGCCGGCGGCGGTGGCGATGTCTGACGGCGCTACTCTGGTCATGTTTCGCTATGAAGAGAATTTGATGGGGGATGGGATTGGGAGGATTTGGGTAGAGTGAGAAAAACGGGTTTAATTTCTTCCAAGTATCTATAGATCTATATCGTGAAGTTATTGTCATTGCTACAACTTCTCCTCCCCGTGATATTTGGCAATTTCCCGATTATATAGGGCTAAAAACCAGGAATTGGAAACCAAATAAATCCCCATTTCCATAATTATATCACCTAATAAATTAAATCCCATCCATCTCCCCAAAATGGGGCTGCAAAATGATGCGGTCTGACCCACACAAATTATATATGTACCATCTATGCTCTAGAGCATAGACTATGGACCATACCAAATGCTATAGGGTCCTACTAGATCATGCATATGCATCCTACTCCAACATTTTATACAAGTGTATTGCTAAGATTATTTCATGTGAATGTGTTTGTCTTTGGTAATAAGTAGGACTGGAAAATAGACCAGACCGTTAGAAAAACCGTGGTCCAAGTCGTACCGCACAGTTTGGTCCGGACCGTAGACTGTTAAGTATGGTCTGGTCTGGTCCATGGTCTGTATTATTTTATGTTTTGATCTCTTGGTCTGGTCTGGTCTAGATCGCGGTTTACCGGACCAAACCGTGGACCCAACTGACTTGTCAATACGTGTTAACAGCCCATTCGACCACTCTCCCAACTCCCAAAACGACACCCAAGTCTCAACCTTAGTTTTGTGAATCTCGTCCCTCCTTCATTCACAATCACATTTAACGAGAGAGTAGAGATAATCGTGTCTCCATATGATATTATGTTAATGTTTATGACGTTATGGTGCAAGTTGGGATGCTTTTTACTTTGTATCTTTGTTATGTACTAAGATTTAGAGTATCAAAATTATTCGTGCATGTTAGGATTAATGTTTTAAGGCAAATAACAATATTTTTCTTTGTTATTGGTTCAATTTTTTGTGTGGTTGACTAAGCAAATTATTCATTTTTCGTTGAGTGTGGTCTATCTGGACCTGACCAGACCGAACCAGACCGCATAGGCGTGGTCTGGACCGGACCGTATAGTTTGTGGTTTGTTATGTGGTCTATACTTTAGCCTCTCGGTCTGGACCATAGACCGTATATATGGTCTGGTCTGGACCAGACCGCACCGTTTCCCAGCCCTAGTAATAAGTGAGAATCCAACAACGTTTGCAAATGGTAGGGCGATAGGGGAGAATATCTTAACTTGTACATGAACTAGTCTAGAAGTATACTAAGTAAAAGTGGACTTGATGAAAGCATTCGACTCAATCGATTGACAATTTCTATCACAGTTTTGGAAGCAATGGAATTTCCAAATCAATTTATTAAATGAATTTGTATGTGTAACCACACCAAGGATAAGTGTTGGCTTCAATGTGGGTGTGTTCGGCTATTTCTCAGCAAAAAAAAGGGACTTAGACAAGAAGACCCTTTGTCCCCTTATCTGTTTGCTACATTAGCCATGGAAGTTTTCAGTAGTCTAATGAAGTTAGAAGTGGCAGAAAATCGACTCTCTTATCGCCCCATGTGTAAGAGGATATGTTTTCAAACTCATACTCATTTAGATTATGGAAGCAATATTCATACCTTACCCAAACCCATCTACAAACCTCCCAAACTCATATGCACTTCACCCATACCCAACCCATTATCAATGGGTCTACTTGGGTTTGAGCATAATTACCCATGGGTGGGTAATTGCCATCCCTAGTGGGGATCCAAGGGAGTTCTCATTATTTTTTCTGTGATCATCTTTTCTTTGAGTGTTCTAGATTCCAAGACATATTCAAAGGGGTTTTCTAGCAATTCAGGGGCCGTATACCATTTCATGACCGGGATACTGATTGCAGTGGGTTGTTACCAAGTCTTCTGGCAAAGCTACTAAGTCAAAGGTGGAAAGGGTAATATGGTAGGCCAGCGACGGATCCAGAATATAGTAGAGTACTAGGCCGTATTTGTTAGAAAATTAGAAACCATAAATAAAAAAATTGGTTTTTTTTGTATAATGTCAATTGTACATGACGGTTTTTTATTTGGCGAATTCATCAATAATGGAGTCTACACACATACCAATAGCATACTCTCTTTCAAATAAATAGCTACGCAATCGACGAGAAACACATTGCTCATTTAGTTGCGCAAATAAGTTTTCACACGTTTCATTGTTTAAAAGGTTCTCTACATAGTAGTCGTTGAAACAAGCAACGTCAAGACTAGACAAATCAATCGACTAATCGATTGTATTGTGTGCCCATTCCTATATCCACCAGCTCTAGTAATTTTTGAAGGGAACAAACCTCGTATTTCTTTTAGTCTTTTAGGTTTTATTGTTTATTTTTTAGACGAAAATCAAAGGAGGTAGAATTTTTTGGCTAAATTTAGAGTAGTGATCTGAATATGTTCGTCTGAACCATTTTTCTTGTTACACACAATTTTATTATAAAATAACACTGAGCCAAATATCTAAAATCTAAAAATTTATAAGGTCTATACTAACTCCATACTCAAAAGAGGACTGGGTCGCGGATCCAAGGTGGGCCTGGCGAGATAAGTGTGTAACTAAGCATGGAGCTATAACAAAGGGAGTTGTAGTTGTTGCTAGTAATTTGCAGATTCAAAAGGATGTTAGAGTGTTATTCGATAATTCTGAAATTAACTTGTTCTTTTAGTCATCACTTGCATAGTTCTTGGGTTAGAGTATAATATTACTTGTCTTTCTTTACAGTGGGACCGGTTATTGTAACAACACCTATTGTGTTGTTATTGTAACAACACTAGTCCCCAACCAATAGGAAGCTAGGGATGTGATGACTTTTTATTAGTTGAGTTGACCTAGTGTAAAATCAAAACAGGGGTATAATTGTCATTATGAAAAATATGTTTAAATAATAAAAAAATAAAAAAAATAAAAAAATAAAAAAAATAAAAAAATATTTTTTTATTTTCTGCCCAAAAATTTGGTCGCCGGAATTCTGCCACCGGTCGCCGGAAAATGGTCGCCGGTCACCGGAATATGCTATTTGTCGCCGGAATATGCTATTTTGTGGCCGGAATATGCTTACCGGAGTCGGAATATGCTTACCGGCGTCGGAATCTAGTCACCGGGGCCGGAATATGCCTATCGGCGTCGGAATCTGCTCACTAACGGTCACCGGAGTTCGGTCAACGAACTTCGTTGACCGGTCAACGGTCTTCGTTGACCGGTCAACGGTCAACGACCACCGGATGTATGGTCTACATTGTGAGATTTATGGTTTGGTTTCTCATATTTTTGTATGCATTTTGTGGTTTGCTTTATCGTGTTTGTGGTTTGCATTGAGAAGTTTCTGGTTTGCTTTATCGTGTTTGTGGTTTGCATTGAGAAGTTTCTGGTTTGCTTTCAAAAACTTTGTGGTTTGCATTGTGAGGTTTCTGGTTTGTTTAAATATATTTGTGGTTTGCATTAGGACGTTTATGGTTTGTTTTTTTGTGGTTTGATTTACTGTGTTTGTGGTTTGCATTAGGAGGTTTCTGGTGTGCTTTCGCAAATATTGTGGTTTGCATTGTGAGGTTTCTGGTTTGCTTTAGGAGATTTGGGGTATGCATTAGGAGGTTTCTGGTTTGCATTAAGAAATTTCTGGTGTGCTTTCGAAACTTTTGTGGTTTGCTTTGCGAGGTTTCTGGTTTGTTTTAATATATTTGTGGTCTGCATTAGGACGTTTTTGGTTTGCTTTACCGTGTTTGTGGTTTGCATTAGGGGGTTTGTGGTGTGCTTTCGGAATATTTGTGGTTTGCTATGTGAGGTTTCTGGTGTATGTTAGGGGATTTGTGGTTTGCTTTGCAAGGTTTATGGTTTGTTTTAATAGATTTGTGTTTTAATAAATTACCATCGAGGGTGGGTAGTACTGTTAATAATGCACAACAACTTTTTCACCGATCTCTCAACGAATCAATCTATATTTTCTTCTCTCTCTGAATCTATTCTCTGGGGAAAAAAAAGGCACGTAACGGAGGAATTGTAATCTTCTTCTATCATAATGGCGAGGAAGCTTTGCTCTGCAGCCATGAAATTAGCTGCAAAGGAAGTGATTCAGTATGTGGAGCGAGTCCTCTTGTGGATCGAAAGGATAGCTTTCTTCACGCTGACTTGTTTCTTGCTCATCCGCCTCTCCGATTCCAACAAATCCCTTCAGCCAGAATTCTTCCATGGACTCGTTTCTGGTGTAATTTCCACGAACTCCGCTGCGGAAGAGAGTGGCACCCGCAACGCGATTGGCGATAGTAGTAGTCTGGGGTGAGAGGAGACGAGTCCCCACTCGACGGCGGCGACGAAGTTGGCGGAGAGACGGTTTTGAGCGATTTCGGCGGCGATAGGACCGCCCTAATCTTGGCCTCGGGACAATGGTGAGTGATGAGATCTGACAGCTGGATGTGGTGGGAGACGTCGGCGGTCGGGAGGGGAACGATGGAGAGGTTGGTGATGGTCGGGGCAGGATTTGAGAAGGGAGTCGGTGGTGGCGGTGTCGGCTGCGACGATGACTGGTGTCTCCGCCTCCGTCGCCGGCATTTTGGGGGCGAGAGGGGTTGAGAAAGCGACGATGAGATCTGAATGGGAGAGAAGATAAAATTATTTATTTTTTGTATTATGTTTATTGTCATTTACGGTTATGCCCTTGTTGTTATAATAACAACACTTAGGGTGTTGTTATGCTATCCGCACCCTTAGTTAGTGACAAGGGATATTTGCCATAGTAAACTCTGTTTTTATGATATATAATCCCACCATTCATAAAAAAATCTTTTTTTTTTTTGAAAACGTGAATTCCAACAAGCATGTATCATTTTGATACCATAAATCCAAGTATGGCTGGATAATTGGTTTATTTTCAATTTTAAATAAAAAGTTTAAATTTGTTCTTTCTACAATTAGTGATGGCAATGGAGCGGGACGGGAAAGGTACCATGCCCTGCCCCATGCTAATGTGGGTCGGGGCGGGTAATACCCACGCGGGTACGGGGCGGAACGGGTCGACCTATTCTTGTATGTTACTTAAAAAAATACACGTAAAATTTTACTTTTTACGATAAATTGAAGGGGGAAACTATTTATGAATGCAAAATAGTGAAAATAGAATGGATAATCGAGTCAAACTACTTTAAAATCAAGTTTAACTAGTTGAAGAAACGTCAAAATAGGAGAAATATGAATAGATACTATAAGAAATTGAGATAGAATGAGCCAAGAACGTAACGGGGCGGGACGAGTCGGAAATAGATACCCATACCCCGCCCCACGCTAATGCGGGTCGGGTAATACCCGTCCCATCCCCATCGCAGATCAGATCGGGTAATACCCGACGGGGCGGGTTTAAATTGTCATCCCTATCTACAATTACCAAGGTTGTTGAACCCTTATCGAATCCCAGTTAGACCCAGTCCGACCGAGTCGAGTTTCACCAAAAATGGCTCAAACCGACCGGACCCCAATTAGACTTTTAAACCTCAAACCCCTTGCTTGACCGGCTCAATAACTTAAATCGATTTGACAACATTGACAATTACTCATGTTGCAGAAAATTCAAAATGGTAAAAAGATAATCTCTAGCATGTATTTGGTTGGATCATATCATCAAGCCCAATTCAAATTTAAGGAGGAGGGCCCAATAAAGCCCAAAAGGACAACAGGTCACTGAAATTAGTAGTATTTTACTTAATACGAAAAATAGAAAATTGAGAATTTGGTGGGGGAAAACCCGGGAAAGTTGAAATTCATTGCAACGAAGGAGAGTGTTTGCTGGGAGAGGGAGGGAGGCATATGGTAGCAATTGTCTGGTCTGGTGGACAGGATTCGTTCCCTATTTTAGCTATGGCGGATTTTCCTTCTTTCCTAAAAGAAAAAATAGCTAAATTTGAACAACGAAAAGCCTCTCTCCTTCCTTCTTCCCCCCGCCCAAGGGAAGAGAGAGGAGCAAGGAATTTCTCCCTCTTCCCTCTCGCCGGCCGGAGCTCATCACGCTCAGAAAGCTTTTGTCCCGGCCTGGGAGGGAGGGGGAAGGAGACAACCGGAACGGTGTGAGGAGGAACTGACCAATCTCTCAGAGAGAGAGAGAGAGAGAGAGAGAGGGGACGAAGAACAGAAATCGCTTACCGCCGGAGCTTGGATATCCTTCCTCCCTGCTCCGGCTGATTCGCCTCTGCTCTCTCCCTTCTCTCGCGGACGCCAGCGGTCGCGGTGGAGAAGTTTCTTTGTTTGTTTGTGTGTGTTAGTCTTAATTCTAGAGGAGAATGCTTTGGCGATCGAGCAATCTAAGATCCTGACCTGATTTTCTCTCGCTACCGGCTCGTTTCTTCTCCCTGAATTCGACTCTGTTTGGCGACAAGAGAAAATGAGCGTGGTGAGCTCGACGATCCGCGGTAGGGGCGACCGGCGGAGCGCGCTGGGATCATGGGGCGGGGACGAGTCGGTGTCGATTTCCGGCGACGTCGCCGGCGAATCGGAGAAGATTCACGTCTCCATCAGGCTGAGGCCGCTCAACGACAAGGAAATGGTGAAGAACGACGTCTCCGATTGGGAATGCATCAGTGCCACCACCCTCATCTTCAAATCCTCCATGCCCGATCGCTCCATGCTCCCTTCCGCCTTCACATTCGGTAAAACCCTAAAAAATTCATCCCCAATCTGAGTATTTCCAGTCTCCAATTCCTCTTCCGTCTCGATTGACTTTAATTATCTGTTCTTTCCCCGCTACAGATAGAGTGTTCGGGCCGGATTCCGGCACGAAGCAGGTCTATGAGGAAGTGGCCAAGGAAGTCGCTCTTTCCGTCGTCAGCGGCGTCAATGGTAAGGGTTCTAACTTACCGGCGATCTTCTCTTCCATTACCGTAACAGAGAAGGTTGAGTAAATTTATCTGATGTTACTGTGTGTTTTCAGCTAGCATTTTCGCGTACGGCCAAACGAGCAGTGGGAAGACGTATACGATGAGCGGAATCACAGAGTACGCCATGGCAGACATTTTCAACTACACCTACCAGGTAATCTGGCGAAAGATAAAGGGTTCTGAATTTCCAGAGAGGTTTGATTAGGTAAACTGATTGGTTTCTCTGGGTATTTCAGAACCAAGAAAGAGAGTTTGTGTTGAAATTCTCCGCCATTGAGATCTACAACGAAGCTGTTAGAGACTTGCTTAGCTCGGATCCCAGTCCTCTCAGGCTTCTGGATGATCCAGAGGTGAACTCTCAACTTTCGGTTTCAATATCGCTCTCAGTATAATCAGTTTTGAGCTTTTAGGTTATAATAATGTTCTGTTCATCCCAACAGAGAGGAACCATTATTGATAAGCTTATTGAAGAGACGGTTGAAGACTGGAACCACCTGCAGGAACTCCTTTCCATTTGTGAAGGTAAAAAGCATGACTCTTCTCAAGAACACTGTGATGAAATTGAAATGCAGCTCGACTTCAATGCTGAGGTGAGATTTTCTTGTGGTGCAGCTCAAAGGCACATAGGAGAGACTGCTCTGAATGAGTTCAGCTCCAGATCACATCAAATCCTTAGGCTAGTATGTATCCTGTTTTACGTTCACTTCCCTTGTCGTCCATTGTAGATCTTTTCTCGCTGAAATTTCTTACTGTGTTGGTGTTTCTTCTGGTTCATCTTGCAGACGGTGGAAAGCTGTGCTCGTGAGAACTTTGGTTCAGGGAATTTGAGCACTCTCACTGCTTCCCTGGTAAAGAACAGCTTTTCCCTACTAAATGTGTCTCTGCCTCTTCAGTTTTTACTTCCTCACAAGTTTTAGAGTGGGCTAAGATTCCGTTCATTGATTTGATCCTCATTTTTCCTATATTTGAATCGCTCTGATCCTAGACCAGACGTATCATGGCCACTCAGAACTAAGCATGCTAACCTGTTAAACCGTTGGCTCTCCAGAATTTCGTTGATTTGGCAGGGAGTGAGCGAGCTTCTCAGGCATGGTCAACCGGTACGAGATTAAAAGAAGGTTCCCACATTAACCGCAGCTTGCTCACCTTGAGCACCGTAATCCGCAAACTAAGGTGGGTACAAACTGTAAACTACGAACACGCCTTCCTTGTATTAAAGCTCCATCATCTATTCAACTACTGATCCATGCCAAAAACTTGATGCCAGCAAAGGGAAATACGGACACATACCCTACAGAGAATCCAAGTTGACCAGGATACTGCAGAATTGCTTGGGAGGCAATGCGAAGACTGCCATAATCTGCACAATGAGCCCTGCCCGTTGCCACGCCGAGCAATCGAGAAACACGCTCATGTTCGCCAGCTGCGCCAAGGAAGTGTCGACCAGCGCACAGGTCAACGTGGTGATGACTGACAAGGCCTTGGTGAAGCAGCTGCAGAGGGAGATCTCCAGGTTGGAGGGCCAACTTGAGCGCCAGGCCAAAAACAGCTTGGTAGGAACCATGTCCAAAGCCAACGATACAGCTGCATTGCTGAAGGAGAAAGACCTTTTGATTGAGCAGGTTTGTTATTGTAGTTCCCCTATGCTGATTCCATGGTAGTCAAAATCTTGATCCATAGAATTTTATGATTCTACTATCCGCTTCCTATTCTACACAATATGTATAGGTTTGACTACCTTGCTTCCTTCCATGACTGACAAGGCCTTGGTGAAGCAGTTGCAGGGGAAGATCTCCAGGATGGAGGGCCAACTTGAGCGCCAGGCCAAGAACAGCTTGGTAGGAACCATGTCCAAAGCCAGCGATACAGCTGCGTTGCTGAAGGAGAAAGACCTTTTGATTGAGCAGGTTTGTTATTCTAGTTCCCCTATGCTGATTCCATGGTAGTCAAAATCTTGATCCATAGAATTTTATGATCCTACTATTCGCTTCCAATTCTACACAATATGTATAGTTTTGCTACCTTGCTTTCTTCCATGACTGACAAGAACTTGGTGAAGCAGTTGCAGAAGGATATCTCCAGGTTGGAGGGCCAACTTGAGCTGCAGGCCAACAGCTTGGTAGGAACCATGTCCATAGCCAACGATACAGCTGCATTGCTTAAGGAGAAAGAACTTTTGCTTGAGCAGGTTTGTTATTCTAGTTCCACTTTGCTGATTCCATGGTAGTCAAAATCTTGATCCATATAATTTTATGATTTTACTATTCGCTTCTTCCGATTCTACACAATATGTATAGTTTTGACTACCTTGCTTCCTTCCATGACTAGTAATGTCCGTTACTGTTTCAGATGGAGCAAGAGATCAAGGAGTTGACCTGGCAGCGCGATCTTGCACAATCGCACATCGATAGCTTGCTGAAATCAGTCAGGGAAGATCGACTCTACAGAGTGGACGAGAATTCAGTATTAGAGGCTGATGCAGTTCCCGCAAGAAGCAGCAACACCGGTAGGGAGTACGACCAGTTCAGCATGCCTAATCCTGTTCCCAAGAGGCAATTGCTTGAGACCCAAGCAAGTCTCGGAGCTAACTCTCTGCAGGAGGAGATCCCTCAACGGAGCACCATCGAGTCAGAGAACATGTGCAGGGACGTCCCTTGTGCTGAAATGGGAGAAACTCCATCAACAAAAATGGATAATACTACAGATGAACCTGCTGATGTGACATTAGCGACGGCTGAGGAAACCAAGGAGCTTTGCGACGTGGGTTCCTATGACATACACGAGATTCTGAAGCGGAGGGTTCAGGAATTGCAGAAGACGATAGAAAGTTTGGACAAGTCTTCTCCTTATAGGTCGGAGAAAGGCGTGTCGTGGACCAGAAGCAAGAGCAAGAAAGTTGTGGTGATGACTATTCCCTCGGCACTTTGGTCCAAGAAAGCAGAGGACAAGGAAGAAGACAGTGAAGAGGAGGATGGTTACGATGCTAGAGACTCTAGTGCAACTGACGAGGAGATTACCGAGAGACGAGAGAATCCGGAAGAGGACAACAAGGGTCTGAAGATGGAGCACGTGTCACGAATGAACAACTCAGAGTATCCGGAGAGCTGTGTTGTTGGCACCAAAGAGGATGAGATCATTAAAGAGATCGATGTTCATTTTGATGATTTTGATGATACGACGAGTGTTCTGAATTCAGTTGCAGGAGGAAAGAAGGGTAAGAAAATAATCAAGCATCATAAGCAGCCGACCAGAGAAATCGGTGTCATTTCGGTAAGCAAGACATACAAACACACACACACACTCTCTCTCTCTCTCTCTCTCTCTCTCTCTCTCTTGGATATTTACAGCAGGAAACCGTTTAGTTGGTTGCTGGCAGCCTTGCTGCACGTTATGTAAATGGAGATGGATAAGTGCAGGTTGTGGAGCCACTGAGGAGAATTCCAGAAGGGAGGCCAATGACACGGGCAAGAGACCTTGTTTCGGAGACAAACAGGAGTTTGAGCCAGAGCCAAGCTAACTGGTCACAGAAATTTGAGAGGTACCGCAGGAAGATCATCGAGCTATGGGCGAAATGCAATGTACCATTGGTCCACAGGAGTTACTTCTTCCTCCTCTTCAAAGGAGATCCTTCGGACAACGTGTACATGGAAGTTGAGCTCAGGAGACTCTACTTCATGAAGGACACAGCTGCTCGTGGAAACAACCCGGTCGTGGATAGTCAGGTCGCTACGTACACCTCTAGGTATGGTTCAGCCCGGCTTCTTAATTCTACCTAGAATCTGTAGTTAAGACTATCTAGGTATTGACCACAAGTGTATGTTCTCGTACAGTTCGAAGCTTCTAAATCGGGAGAGGATAATGTTGGCCAAACAACTGCAGAAGAAGTTGACGAGAAGGGAAAGGGAAGAGCTTTACCTGAAGTGGAACATAGAACTCGACACGAAGCAGAGAGCATTGCAGCTGGCTGGAAAGCTGTGGACGGACTTGAGAAACATAAGACACGTTAGGGAAAGTTCAATCCTCGTAGTGAAGCTAATCGGGTTTGTAGAGCCACAATATGCGCCAAAGGAGCTATTCGGGCTCAGCTTCTTGAACCCGTCAGCTAACCAGAAGTCCTCCAGCTGGAGGGACAACGTGTCCTCTCTTCTATGAGAGGCTCATTCTATCTCTACGCAGTTTGCTAACAAAGATTAGATGCCTTTTGTATACAATACACAGTAACACACACAACTAAAATTTTTTGGACAGTTTGGGGAAGTAACGGTCTTTCCTTGTAAATGAAAGAGAAAGGGCTTTTAAGCCGAGAGTGTAGTAAAAAAAAGGTAATTTTTGGACTCGATGAGACTTCCGCTGCTTATTCACCTTTATTTGCTACGTGGTAAAAAAAAGGTTTGGGGCAAGGAACCGGCATCAACAAAGTCAAACAATCACAGTTGAATCACAAAAGAGAACCGGCATTATCAAGCAAAGAGCAAAAACCTCACACGAAAACAATTTCAACCGGATGCCAGCTGCAAAACATCCCCATAGGACATTTCTTCGCGTGAACAAAGTTCACAACGGCTTCACTATATTATTGAAGACTATATTATATAGACATAAGGCAGAAGATACTTACACTACCAGATCAACATATCGGTTTTCCTTATATCAATAATGCTCCATCGGTGATTCTCCATCCTGAATCAGAAAGCGAGATCTCGTATCTAGTTGAGTAGGTCGTAGTTTTTGGGCCGCTCGTAGGATGAACAGCATCGGTTAAGGCGATCGATTCATTTATTGTTGCTTCCAACACAGTATGTTGTTCATCTGAGGACATGGTTACACTGTTGACGGTCAAGTCCAATAGCATACAGTCGTATACCCAGCCAAGCTTTGCAATTTCAGCGGCTCGGTCTGTCCAAAGCTTCAACATCCGACCATCCAATACCTAAAAGATTTTTCTATGAGCAATGGATCACAGGAGCATTTCTATTATACTATATAGTATTAGTGCTTTAATGTACAACTTAAAGTTGTACCATAACATGAAATGTATAAGTTTAGATTGTACCATAAAAGAATTTGTATGATTATGTTATGGTACAACTTGAAGTTGTACCATCACATAAAGGTACAAGTTCAAGTTGTACCATAAAAGAATTTGTACAAACAGTATAGGTATAATCCAAAGTTGTATCATAACGTAAATGTACAATTTCAAGTTGTACCATAAAGACAAAAACCTATAGCACCAATACTATATAGCATTGTAAAATTCCTCTGGACCACAGAACTAAGAAGCATAACAAAAGAGTTTCTTAAAATGGAGGCGAAGCAAGAGAATTAGACTTTCTTACCTCTGTCAATTTTCCCAAACAGTGATCAGGTCCAAAAGCCTGAGACTGGACATTCTGCCATTTCCGGACTACACCTTCTGCTAAACTTGCATGCTGTCTTGACAATTCTTCCGTGTTGCTGTCTACTTCTTAAAACCATTGCCAATTAAATGAATCTTATATAAGACAGAATCCAGCAGACAACAAAATGTTATAGTCCAGCTATTCTGTAAACATATCATTAGAGGTCTTACCAGAAGTGACACTAGAAGAAGCCGTTGCTTGGTCTATCTTTCCTTGGCCAGAGAACCGATCTCTAGGAGGCATACCCTTCAATCCTACTAAAGCCAACAGTCCAATCGCCACTCCAGCACACATGGCCTTCACACTAACATCCTTCAACTTTTCACCAACCGATTCTATCACTACAGTGACAATGTTATCATTGACAATCTTTTCAAGAAACTCTTCGCTTTCTTGGCTGCCCAAAGGAAAAACCTTCTGCAATGCCTCAGCCCCTATCCTCACTATAGCAGTAGCGGCAGCAAGGGGCGATCGACCAGCACCCTCCCTGCTTTCTAAGTAGGCCAAGACAGTAGGATCATCATAGTAGTCATTAAGCCTGAACTCTACATCTTTGGTATCTCTGAACCTGGGGAAAACCACATCTGTTAACCAGGTCTCCAACAGCTTACAAAGCCCGCGAAGATAGTCTACATCACCATGACTTGAGTTCTCCTGCACAAATTCTACAACCGCTGGGTTTCTGTAACGTGAGTCAACCTGGTCTAAACCTAGCCATGCATGACAGTCATCCAACTCCCCTAAAAGCAGCGAGCAGAGACCTCTTCCTAGTGAAAACTCCATCTCACGTTCTTTTAGAGTGTTTGAATGAGTGGACTGTTGGAGTTGCTCGAATAGATTATCAGCACATGGTACATGCTGAGGCTTTTTACCCATGAAAGCTTGGGCAACTAGTGCGAGGGCAACTCCGTGCACTTCGAAATTCTGAGGTGGAATGTTCGGTGGCGTGGCTACAAATAGATCAACCTGCTCAGAAGATGTCATGTGCAAGAAGGCTTCTTTCATGAAATCTTCACGAGTGAACCCACTGTAAAGTGGCGATGCTCCACCTCCTCCAACGGCCCACAATATGTTGCGCACTCCTTGGAGACCCTCTTCTCTTTTCGTCCGGAATTCATCCTCAAGGGGCAAGGCTAGAAGTTCTAGAACATAACGAGGGGTGATCTCCTCCAGCGTCTCATCTATCTGTGCCTGTAAATCAGGGGCAAGGCTGCTTGCACCTTCCTCCTAAGTAACAAGACATGTGGTCATCATCAAGAGTTACGATCACTTGCCTCGGCCTAGACTTGATGCCTCCAAAATTTTAGTACATTAGAAAGTAATTTCCAGATCACTCAATTGTTTCTCAACCATTTTAGTACAGAATGATAGTATTTACTAATTACTGCCTAACAACCTGAGTAATTAAACCAAAGAGAAAGTAATTGAGCCAAAATAAAATCTTCCTAAATTAAGCACAAGAAAATGGTAATAAGCAGTACCTGCAAGAGCTTCAAGGCCTTTTCTAGCATATCACACCCCCTAATGAAGTCAGGTGGGTTGAACGCCATGGCATTCCTCGACATATCAACGTAAGCAAGAGCGATTACCAACACCACATCTTGTTTGAACTGCTTGGCCAGTCTTTCCTTAAGCATAGTCTCTCCAATTTCCAAAACCAGTTCGGTGTCCCCTGCTTCTTGCAGCACACAGAGAGCTCCAGGAACCTATAAACAAACCAATGAATAAAATTCAGCCCAAACCTGTGTCCGTTCTCTTCCGAATTACGATTAACCAGTAAGGATATAGAAGCAGTTGAGGTAGATAAGTACATTGTCCCAAGGGACCTGAGTAAGCACTGTGTCCTCCTCATCATCAATGAGGCCATGATTGTATTCTCTCCTGGAATTGAAATTGGCAAGAGTCTCGCAGGCTGCTTGCAGAATCTGTCTACGGCTGATCAAAGCTTCTTGACTGAATCCATAGGCAGGCGGTTTGGATACCCTAGCTTCGTACGCTCTCCTGATTCCATCTCCGAGGAAATGCGTCTCAGCTCCCAGAACCTTTTCAGCAGCCAACAACGAACAATTCCATTGCCGGACAATCAGAAACATATTCGAAAGAGAAGAGCGAAATCAATTACTGAAAAAACGGAAATCGGAACTGCATTTCTCGTTTTACCTTGTAGAAATCGAGGGGAATGGAGACGTAGCGCTCGGGAGGAGCGAGAGGCGGCGGCGGCGGGGGACGAGGGACAGGTGGAGGAGGGAGAGTGGCGGTGGTGGTGGAGGAATAGAGGGAGTGTTGTTGTCGTTGGAGCTCGGAAGAAGCGTCAGCGGCGGCGGCGGAGGGGGTGAAGAACTGGAAGTCGCCGAGGAGGCGCTCGGCCCATTTGCTGGAGGAGCAGGTGATGGTGGATACCTTGGAGAGCTTTCTCGTCGGCGGGCGAACCGGCGGAGGCGGGACGGAGGAAGGGGCAATGAGTCTCGGCGACGGTGTGCAGACGCCAATTGTGATGTGCTTGAAAGCCGCCATTGGATGGAGGACTGAGAAGTTCCGCTGTTCCCGTTTGCTTCAGCGGGTTTAGTTTCTAGCACTTCCCTCTTCAGAGTGTTTTGTCAGTTGATACCGCTGCAACTTTTGCCGGAGCAATAGGTTCCAGAACATTATTTTGTTTTATATTTTGATGAACATTGCACTTCGCAAAAATCCGTTGTAGTCTAGTTGGTCAGGATATTCGGCTCTCACCCGAAAGACCCGGGTTCAACTCCCGGCAACGGAATTTAAATAAACCTTTTGGGTCTCATTTGTTGGACACTTTATCCAGTGGGCTTTTGCAATAAGCGGCCCAAATCCTGTCCGACTAGGTCAAACCAACATAAAATCCTATCATCGTATTCATCTCGGTTTTTATTTTATTTTATGGGTGAGTATAAATTTTATGAGGTGAAGAAGAAGAACATCGAGTTATATCTTGATTCAAATTAGTACATTGATATAATTTTTTCATGTTATTGAAAGGGGTCTGTGGAAGGAGAGAGTTCATCCTGTAATTGCGTAATTGAAACCTCAAAATTGAAGACAAAATCATGTAATGATATTGCACAGCTTTTGGATCCTTAAGTATATTGGACTGCTTTATAGGTTTTAGCTCAAAGACTTTAATCTCCAGGTCTGGTGGATTGTACGAAAAGTATGCTCTTTATTGTCACCGATGAGGGCAGTGGCGGATCCAGAAATTCTAAATAGGGGTGTCATCTTTAAAAATTAAATTAAATAATTATCTAATATGAAAATATATGACTAGTAAAAGTAATAATAAAAGTTCAAACATGTTTCATAAAATACATTCGGTGTCTATACTGCTCAACAAATATCTCTCGACATATCCTACTAGACAAGGGTATCCCGTAATTGGGTTTAATCGTTAGCTTTTGAAAATATTTTGTGATAAGAATAACATTTTACTATTATATTTGGATCTAAAACACAATAACAAATGAGTTGTGGTGTAATTGAAAATATGTTTACTAATAGTGGCAATGTCCCAAGTTTAAATCACATGAACTACTACTTAAATATTATTTGTACCAATACACAAACTACTACTGGAGGTTGGATAATCCTTTTTCCCAAATTTTAAGGGTGTCCCACTACCACTTAAACATTTTTTTTCTCATACGCAAACTACTATCGGAGGTTGAATAATTGTGTTTCCAAATTTTAGGGGTGTGCCGGGACACCCCTAAATATGCATGTATCCGCCACTGCATGAGGGTGAATGGATAGAGAATTGAATTTTTTATCTGGTTGAAAGATATGTGAATATTTATGGTTATCATGTTGGTGGAATGTTGGTCGTTTGAATATGATATAATTTATATCGGTCATGAAATTGATTAGAATTTTACTGGAATGACATGTAAGTTAATTTTTTGGTCTCTAAATAAAA